CTACACAGGACCACTACACCAGCCAACAATCTGTAGGCCTGACTACCCCACCAACCCTGCTGACCCCTACACATGACCACTACACCAGCCCACAATCTGTATGCCTGACTTCCCCAACAACCCTGCTGTCCCCTACACTGGACCACCACACCAGACAATCTGTATGCCTGACTACCCCACCAACCCTGCTGACCCCTACACAGGACCACTACACCAGCCCACAATCTGTATGCCTGACTACCCCACCAACCCTGCTGACCCCTACACAGGACCACTACACCAGCCAACAATCTGTAGGCCTGACTACCCCACCAACCCTGCTGACCCCTACACATGACCACTACACCAGCCCACAATCTGTATGCCTGACTTCCCCAACAACCCTGCTGTCCCCTACACTGGACCACCACACCAGACAATCTGTAGGCCTGACTACCCCACCAACCCTGCTGACCCCTACACAGGACCACCACACCAGCCAACAATCTCTAGGCCTGACTACCCCACCAACCCTGCTGACCCCTACACAGATCCACCACACCAGCCAACAATCTGTAGGCCTGACTACCCTACCAACCCTGCTGACCCCTACACAGGACCACCACACCAGCCAACAATCTGTAGGCCTGACTACCCCACCAACCCTGCTGACCCCTACACAGGACCACCACACGAGCCAACAATCTCTAGGCCTGACTACCCCACCAACCCTGCTGACCCCTACACTGGACCACCACACCAGCCAACAATCTGTAGGCCTGACTACCCAACCAACCCTGCTGACCCCTACATAGGACCACTACACCAGACAATCTGTAGGCCTGGCCTGACTACCCCACCAACCCTGCTGACCCCTACACATGACCACCACACCAGACAATCTGTAGGCCTGACTACCCCACCAACCCTGCTGACCCCTACACAGGACCACCACACCAGCCAACAATCTGTAGGCTTGACTTCCCCCAACAACCCTGCTGACCCCTACACGGGACCACCACACCAGCCCACAATCTGTAGGCCTGACTACCCCACGAACCCTGCTGACCCCTACACAGGACCACCACACCAGCCCACATTCTGTAGGCTTGACTACCCCACCAACTGCTGACCACCTATTGACTACCCTTCAAGAACTACACCTGATCAACAGAACCACTGGACGATCCCTTCACCTCACTACCCCGTCTTAACCACCCTTTTGATTATACACCCAAACCAGTCTATGCCTGACCACCCTGATGCTCAACTCACCTGACAATCCTTGTTCCAACTACACGCAAACACCCCTGTGAATAACCATCCCAACATCTTGTTGCCTGCCTCCCCCCCCACTCCCCAATGCTTGCCTCACCACCACCTTGACCACCCCAATGACATTTCACTCGACCAACCCTGACAATACCAACACCCCTGCGCCTGGCATCCCCAGTCACTACTCCCTACCCATCCTATCTCCTGACCTACACAACCGACAACCACCTCTCCACCTGATCTCCACAACCTCACCTCCCCGACCTTCACAACCACCCCTATCCCTGACCTCCACAACCCACAACCACCTCTCCAGCTGACCTCCACAACCTCATCTCCCCCTGACCTTCACAACCATCCCTCTGCCTGACCTCCACAACCTCCCCTCCCACTGACCTTCACAACCATCCCTCTGCCTGACCTCCACAACCAACAACAACCTCTCTACCTGACCTCCACAACCTCACCTCCCCCTGACCTTCACAACCATCCCTCTGCCTGACCTCCACAACCGACAACCTCTCCACCTGACCTCCACAACCTCACCTCCCCCTGACCTTCACAACCACCCCTCTGCCTGACCTCCACAACCTCACCTCCACCTGACCTCCACAACCTGACCTCCCCCTGACCTTCACAACCACCCATCTGCCTGACTTTCACAACCACCCCTCTGCCTGACTTTCACAACCACCCCTCTGCCTGACCTCCACAACCTCACCTCCACCTGACCTCCACAACCTCACCTCCCCCTGACCTTCACAACCACCCCTCTGCCTGACCTCCACAACCTCACCTCCACCTGACCTTCACAACCACCCCTCTGCCTGACCTCCACAACCTCACCTCCACCTGACCTCCACAACCTGACCTCCCCCTGACCTTCACAACCACCCCTCTGTCTGACTTTCACAACCTCACCTCTCCCTGACCTTCACAACCACCCCTGTGCCTGACCTCCACAACCTCACCTCTCCCTGACCTTCACAACCACCCCTGTGCCTGACCTTCACAACCACCCCTCTGCCTGACCTCCACAACCTCACCTCCACCTGACCTTCACAACCACCCCTCTGCCTGACCTCCACAACCTCACCTCCACCTAACCTCCACAACCTCACCTCCCCCTGACCTTCACAACCACCCCTCTGTCTGACTTTCACAACCTCACCTCTCCCTGACCTTCACAACCACCCCTGTGCCTGACTTTCACAACCTCACCTCTCCCTGACCTTCACAACCACCCCTGTGCCTGACCTTCACAACCACCCCTGTGCCTGACCTTCACAACCACCCCTCTGCCTGACCTCCACAACCTCACCTCCACCTAACCTCCACAACCTCACCTCCCCCTGACCTTCACAACCACCCCTCTGTCTGACTTTCACAACCTCACCTCTCCCTGACCTTCACGACCACCCCTGTGCCTGACCTTCACAACCACCCCTCTGCCTGACCTCCACAACCTCACCTCCACCTAACCTTCACAACCAACCCTCTGCCTGACTTTCACCTCACCTCCCCCTGACCTTCACAACCACCCCTCTGCCTGACCTTCACAACCACCCCTCTGCCTGACCTCCACAACCTCACCTCCACCTGACCTTCACAATCACCCCTCTGCCTGACCTCCGCAACCTCCCCTCCCCCTGACCTCCACAACCACCTCTCCACCTGACCTTCACAACCATCCCTCTGCCTGACCTCCACAACCTCACCTCCACCTGACCTTCACAATCACCCCTCTGCCTGACCTCCGCAACCTCCCCTCCCCCTGACCTCCACAACCACCTCTCCCCCTGACCTTCACTACCAGCCCTGTGCGTGACCTTCACAACCACCTCTCCACCTGACCTTCACTACCAGCCCTGTGCCTGATCTCCCCAATACCCATCGCCTGAAAGACAAACCTTTCTACGCTAAAGCCAAAAAATGAAGAAGCACAGCCTGGTGCAGGAGTCACTGGCTATAACAGGATGGAATACCATAACGCTGCATGGAAACAGTCAACTTTCTTGTGATAGATTAAAAGTAAGAGTGGCTTTGTACATATATATCGTATTATACATAATGAGTTCTGACACTGTGATACAATCTAAACTCTTTTTGTCCAATAAAATTTAGATTGAAATCTCTGAATGACCCCTATATTGAGAATCCGTCTGGATCATAACAATGAGCAGCCTGTCCTAATTGGAATCATCTGACAAGGCTGATGACAGACCACGATTGTGTCGTTTTATATATAGTTGTGTTCAGCACCCCTTTGAACAGTTTTTCAGCCATGTCACGGTGTATCAAGTCATGTTTGGGTAAGACTCAAAGTGACACAGGTTGTGGCAGTTCACCAGTCCGGAGAGACCAAGAACAAGGTGGAATCAAACACAGCTGATCCCGGCAACCTGAAGGTCACCTCGGGTCACATCCCCTTATCACACAGATTTGTCTACACGACATCTCACTTGACAATTTCTTTGTTCTGACGTATGGTTATTACAGATATACAATCAACAAATCTAAGGTCTTTTCAAGGTTAAAAAGGCACAGCGAAATTTCATATTTAATCAAGTTCATTTCAATTTTTACAAGAAATGTAGCATGCTGTCAAAAGTCATTTCAATTTACAAATTGTCTGCTTTACTGGTACACAAATATTTATGTCTGAAATTTTTATTTGATAGTATGTCCGAAAAAAATTTATAGGGAGTATTAGCTAAATGTGTGTTTGTATCATAAATAGCGTATATCAGAAATAAGAATTGTATAATGCAAGCCTTTGGGAAACATAGTTTGTATTCCTTTTATATAGAGAATCTCACCCGAGTGTCTTTTGATATCAAATATATCAACACGAGTTGCTAAAAGTGGAAAATCTCCCAAGGCATGCCTAGGAGTTTTTTCACTTTTATCAACGAGTGTTGATATATTTGATATCTAAAGACACGAGGGTGAGATTTTATTATTATCCAACAGCATTCTTCCAACTTTTTCAGTTTGTAGACGTAATAAGAAGTGCCTTAAGTGTAAAAAGTACTGCTAACAACTTCAGTAGCAGAGCCATTAGTGATGTCATTTGATCATGGTAACCAATGATGTCACAATGGTCTGTAAAGCATTGTGATGCAATTTCATTGCAGCAATATCGACAATGTAGATATCGCTTGATCTCACCCAAGCGATATCTCCTGTGGGAGCCAGTATTAATGATATAGAAATATGGGAAAAAATCTCTTTATAATATAGGTCTTTCTCAAAATAAAAGTAGTAGAAGACATATTTTTCCTTCACAAAAGTAGCTAAGAGACCGCTTAGGACTCCAATGCCTTAGTAAGCCGGCAACTTGTTTGTTTGTTTATTGTTTAACGCCGCACTCAGCAATAGTACAGCTATATGACGACGGTCTGTAAATAATCAAGTGGGGACCAGACAATCCAGAGATCGACATCATAAGCAGCGATCCACGCAATTGGGATAGGATGACATGTATCAACCAAGCCAGCGAGTCTGACCACCTGATCCTGTTAGTTGCTTCTTACGGCAAGCATGGGTTGCTGAAGACCTATTCTAACCCGGATCTTCACAGGTCTGGACATTGTGAAGGTAGCCATCATATTGTGATGAAGAAACATGGAACATGACATGCCAAGGATTAAACATGGCTGACTGTTGTTCACAGATTAGCTGAAGGAAGAGCTGCAGATAGGAGTACCTCGCCTGTGTCCGTGTGTTCTGTGACGTGGACTTACCTGGCAGTTTCTTTGTTCTGAATGAAGCATTAGTGAGAGCTGACTTGGCGAGGCCTGAAGTGGAGGAGGAGGAAGACAGGGCGATGCTGATGCCCATAGGACCGTCCTGCGGCTGGCCTGATGGGTTGTACTTGAGAGAGTTGAGAATTGCACTTGTCACCTGAAACACACAGTCAGCATCACATTCTTTATCCTTCCATTCTATCATCAGCACATCAGTGAGTTTGGTTTAATATCAAGTTTAACTGTATTTCTGTCATATCACGGCATGTCAGATTTATGTGAAATCCAAAGTGATGCAGGTGTCAGATATTTACCACTTTGGTGACACCAATGAGCAGGGGTATGGTACTGGTACTGACAAACCAAGAATCAAAATCAGGATGAATATGGGATTTGAACCCATGATCACAGGATTCAGGCATGCTTTAGGGACACAACTCAGCATCAGCCCTTCAGAATGATTTGAACCCCTTGGTAAAGGGACCAACAATAATGGGACAATGATGGGACGATGATGGGACAATGGTGGGACAATGATGGGACAATGATGGGACAATGATGGGACAACGATGGGACAATGGTGGGACAATGATGGGACATTGGCGGGACAATGGTGGGACAATGATGGGACATTGGTAGGACAATGGTGGGACAATGATGGGACATTGGTGGGACAATGGTGGGACAATGATGGGACATTGGTGGGACAATGGTGGGACAATGATGGGACATTGGTGGGACAATGGTGGGACAATGATGGGACAATGGCGGGACAATGGTGGGACAAAGGCGGGACAATGATGGGACAATGGTGCGTCAATGGTGGGACAATGGCGGGACAATGGTGGGACAATGATGGGACAATGGTGGGACAATGATGGGACAATGGTAGGACAATGATGGGACATCGGTGGGACAATGATGGGACAATGAGGGGACATTGGTGGGACAATGGTGGGACAATGATGGGACATTGGTGGGACAATGGTGGGACAATGGTGCGTCAATGGTGGGACAATGGTGGGACAATGATGGGACAATGGTGGGACAATGGTGGGACAATGATGGGACAATGGTGGGACAATGGTGGGACAATGGCGGGACAATGATGGGACAATGATGTGTCAATGGTGGGACAATGGTGGGACAATGCCGGAACATGGTTGGAAGTCATCTTCCAAACTCTCTCTTCCTCGCTGAAATTTCTTCACCCAACATTTAATTGGGATATATCATTTGGCAGGGTTCATCAATATTCTTTGGTGATTGACCCTCCATCGCCAAAGATTTGATGACTGCTTTCTAGTCAGTTTTGTCCATGTCAATTCTTAGAGTAGGGTACATGAAGTTAATTATCAGCAACTCACAGGTATCAGCCATTCACAGGACTAACACATGACAAATTGTGAAAGATAACTCAACAAACATAGGTCAAAACTAATATATGTCACACTCAAGCATAACAAGCTAGATACAGCAAAACTTTGATATCCCCTCGTACCATATCAGCCAATACTGTACTGAAATCTGGACCTGGTAAGTCATGTTCCAGGGGTAGAATGAGACAGGTTACAGAAACGAGTCAATGTCTGTTGTAGTAAGGATTTGTTTGTTTGTTTGTTGTTCAACGCTGCGCTCAGCAATATTCCAGCTATATGACAGCAGTCTGTAAATAATCAAGTCTGGACCATACAATCCAGTGATTGACATTATGAGCATCGATCAACTCAAGTGGGATATGATGACATGCATCAACCAAGTCAGAGAGTCTGACCACCTGATCCCATTAGTCGCCTCTAACGACAAGCATAGTCGTCTTTTACAACGATTATGGATTGCTGATCATGAAGACCTATTATACCCCTGATCTTCACGGTAGCAATGATCCACGCAATTGGGATCGATGACATGCATCAACCAAGTTAGAGAGCCTGACCATCGCCTTTAAAAACATATTCTATTATGAATTTGAAAATACTTGGTTCTGATTGGTCTATCAGAGGTTTCAAATCACAAAATAATCCAATACCCAGAAATAATATCACAGCAACAACAGGTCCTGAGACCTATTTTATACTGAATCTCAAGAAGAAAACTTCACTGTGAACACATGTGACATGACCCTTTACTGATTTCAAAACATTAATCTCAACTTGACATTTCTGGCCTTTCATGACATTCCAGGGTCACCTTGACCTGACCACTTCAGCTTTAAACACTCAAAGTTCAAACCGGATCAAACCCCGGTGTGCAGAAGTTCACATAAAGCATGGAACCTATTTTAATCATCCCCAGATTATGAGTTAGAAAATCATATTATACACATGAGGTAGCTAATCGCAAAGTAAACTCCAGTTATTTGATACAAGAACAGTTTATGACCTCACTCTGCACATTCTGCATGCAATCAGCACAAATACCAGCACAGCATGTGCACTTGTAACTTGAAAACATTCACGAAAGAGATTTCACTTTTTGATCCGCTCACAGATTGTGGTCGAGGCATTCATGACCATATATTTACAACACCTCTCGAACAAATCTTATGAGTCATAGAGGCATTAACTCTTGTATGCCTCAGAGGACAATATAGAACAGAAGACCCTAACCCCAACCCGAACCTCTCAATATTCTTCAATACTGATAAAACCTGTGAAGATCCAGATTAGAATTGTCTTCTGCAACCCATACTTGTCATAAGAGGTGACTAACGGGACTGGATGGCCAGGCTTGCTGCCCTCCTTGATGCATGTTATTGTTCTCATTTGCAAAGATTGATATGGATGATGCCAACCACTGGATTGTCTAGACCAGTCATGATTATTTACAGATCACTGTCATATAGATGGAATATTGCTGAGTGCAAAGGGTGTGCGGTATTACCGGAATATCGGTAAATTGAGGTTCACTCTTTCCACTATACGTATCACAATATCATTTTTTCATGCTCGATATATCGGGTGATTTCAAGTAGTGATTTTTATCATATGTTTAATGTTATATACTTGGCAAATGCCTTCGCTGCTCTGGAGCCAGCATCTGGGGCCCCAAGATGGCTGCATATTTATTGACTGAGTAAACATTATGTTGTACCAGCATCTTGTTTTGTTCCATTTATGAACTTCAGTTCATACCTTGATGTATCAGATTGCTTCTGAATTCAAAATTTGGAATGATACAATTTATCGTGATACTTATTGCAATACGGTCTTGTGCATTGCAAAATATTGTTACACTTTAAACCTCCAATACCCATCCCTACTGAGTGCAGCATTAAACAACAAACAAACAAAGATACCTGAGCCCAATTCATAAAAATGATAACTGACACATTTCATTTGAAGAATATATTCAATCTCCGTCCCTTTTCCACCAATAACAAGCATTCAACCTCCTTAATCTAACCCTGACATCTTTAATACAAATATTAGCTTCCCATAAACAGATCTCCTGATTTTATACTATTGAATGTGTACTGTCATGAACTGCTCGAATTCCAGATTCACATTGGACGTAATCATTTACCAACCCAATACTGACCACCTGTCATGGAGCTTATCAATTCACAATCCACCAAGTACATCTGCACTTTCAGACATTCTGTCAAATCATTGTGGGTTACATCCTCAAAGCACAGAGATTCCCTCCCTCCCTGTAACTACATTCCAGATGACACCAACCTCCATCTTAGTATACCCCTGTGCTGGTATGCAGGTAGGTTGTTAACCACTTGGGTCAAACCTATGAGCAACGATATGGTGCTTAAAGAGCAAGGATCATAATCTGGATCATAATCTGGATCATCTTGGATTGGGAATGATCACTGGAATCTATTGGGTGCAAATTGTCACAGCAACAGTGAATCACCACATTCTGCCACCCAGGGCCCCCGAACCTCCCTGTACCATCCATTTAATCCACCCACCCCATCCCACTCCATCAATCCCACTCCATCAATCCCACTCCACCAATCCCAGCTTGCTGACCCAAAGAGCCCAGAATTACCCTGTACCATCACATCACATCATTCTGACCCAAGGACCTCTAAACCTCCCTGTACCAACCACCACATCCGCTCAACCCTCTCACCCCACTCTGCTCCATCCATCACATCATTCTGACCCAAGGACCTCTTAACCTCCCTGTACCAGCAACCACATCCGCTCAACCCTCTCACCCCACCCTGCTCCATCCATCACATCATTCTGACCCAAGGACCTCTTAACCTCCCTGTACCAACCACCACATCCGCTCAACCCTCTCACCCCACTCTGCTCCATCCATCACATCATTCTGACCCAAGGACCTCTAAACCTCCCTGTACCAACCACCACATCCGCTCAACCCTCTCACCCCACCCTGCTCCATCCATCACATCATTCTGACCCAAGGACCTCTTAACCTCCCTGTACCAGCAACCACATCCACTCAACACTCTGACCTGACCCCATCACATCATTCTGACCCAAGGACCTCTAAACCTCCCTGTACCAACCACCACATCCACTCAACACTCTGACCCCACTCTGCTCCATCCATCACATCATTCTGACCCAAGGACCTCTTAACCTCCCTGTACCAGCCACCACATCCACTCAACCCTCTCACCCCACCCTGCTCCATCCATCACATCATCCTGACCCAAGGATCTCTTAACCTCCCTGTACCAGCAACCACCTCCGCTCAACCCTCTCACCCCACCCCATCGCATCATTCTGACCCAAGGACCCTCCCTAACCTTCCATCAGGAGTCAGTGTGCCCTGGCCGTCTGTCTACATTTGGCATATATAAGTCTCACACTCACTTCCTGTGTCCCTACAATGGAGGCGGTGTACCCAGAGACCTCCAGTAACACAACATGGTGCTCCACACATCCAACGAGCCCAGCCTGCCTCCACAGGGAACACTGACTGCCTACATTGGCACTGCTGTGATTACACATCACTTGGTACAACAATATCAGCAAACAATTCAATGCTGTGGTGGAACCATACTATCTACTGAAAGCCTTACATATAATATGTAGGGGACCAGTCATTTATTGAGGGGTGGGTGGGGCAGAGGTTTTGGATGCACTCATGTACAGAAAGTAATTATTCCTCCCCTAATGCGTGTTATATTTTGGGCTGACCCTCCCCCCCTCCCCAAATATGTGT